AAAAAAAATTCTTAGCTGGTTTCAAAAACTTCATCTGTGTTTACAAAATGATATTTGGTTTTGAAAAAGCCTCATTTTCATATCTACTGTTAAACATATCGAAATCAGATCTGTATTTCTAGATACGACTTGTATCTAATTTACGAATCAGAGTCTAAGTTGAAAAAACATGATAATAAAAGACATAAATTATCCATATTCAAATATAAACTGTTGCTTTGTCGTTTGAAGGTTAAAGTCAAAGATTGCATACAAATCCAAATAGCGATAAAATTAAAAATGTGCAAAACATTCCCATTGATTATATTTTGAGTTTACTTAATCAAGGTATTATGTCACCAAAAGCTAATTATTCACTTATGTTAAAAATGGCATGAAAAGGTCATGATCGATTAATTTTGGATAGTTTTTTCGAAGAAACAAACGAAAAATTATACGGCGTTGAGAATATGTTTCAAAATTCGAACGCGTACAAAATGTTACCAGTAATGCCTAGTTATTCTATATGTATGGAACAGTCAGGGATAGAATTTTGTAACGAAGATTTTATTAAAAATCAACATACCTAATAATCATAATTACAATTAAACTGGGAATAAGCCACAATTAAAGATAAAAATACGTTTATTGACGTTTCAATTTCCACTTCGGAAATCGTTCTCAAAATACAAACAGTAAATTAAACAAATTTTGTTTTTTGTTACATAGTGAAAAATTCTTCTAATATTAATTTTATCTGACTCATTTATATTGACAATTCAGACATACATTATGCATTTTAAAGTAGACGACTTTAAAATGATATTGCCAATATTGTTGAGTTGCGCTCCTGGGACGACTTTACTTATAAGATAGTTCATTCGATTACATGAAATCAACTTTAACTTGAGAATATCCGTCAGAAAAAATCATAGCATGAAATTCGTCTTTAAAAAGACAAACACATGACATGATGACAGTAAAATTCTCCTGTTAGTGATTCCATAGTAAATTATGAGGGAAAAACCAGGAAAAAACCTCATAATACTATCCCGACATTGTATTTGTTCGTGAATTTAGTTTACCTTCAACAAACATCAAAATTCTGATTTTATATGTTACGTTATTTAAAAAACATAAATGATGTATCCTCTATATGTTACTGACTTACTAATACTGGTATTTTCTTATTAATAACTTCCTCTTTCAATATTGGTAACCAGATCCTACTACATTCTGCCGAGGAATTCGCAACACAAAACCATTGGAAAGTTATTCTCCAAGTCCAAAACTCCACTAAGCTCGTTAGAGCACACTAATGTTGTCTATCAGATCTCCTGTTCTGAATGCAATTCCTGCTACATTGGCCAAACCAGTCGTTCACTTCTAGGGCGTATAACTTCACATAAAAGCGACATTAGACTTTCCAAACCCTCTTGTGCCCTTGCACAACACGCCATTTCCACCAAACATCACATTGACTTCTCAAATACTAAAATACTGGCCAAACAAAATAACCATCAAAAACGCTCCTTTATTGAAATGTGTGAGATCCTAAAAACCCATCTGCAATAAACAAAAGAACCGACATTGACAATTTGAGCCAGGTTTACCACTCTCTCATCTTACGAAATAAATAATACCAATATTCATAATTTAAAATAGCCGTATTTTCCATTTAAAACAATAACATAATCATCCCAGAGCTCTAAGTTTCATTAGATCATCAAACATAAATTACAAAAAAAAATCATATCAAATTTTTCCGTTACAAATCCACCCGTCCAACTATTCTTTCAATGACCCCCGTAGAAGTTCATAATTGTCTCAAACCTTGGAATTTGTTGAACATATGGCCCCTGAAAAAATTTTCGGTATCGCGCCACGTCGTTTTGCGTAGATTGCAATAAATCAGTGTTTTGTTTGTCTTCATTGGAGAACCATCTCTAAATGAAGCCAAATGTACGTTTAAAGTTTTTGTAAATCTTCGTTTCTGCGAATGTTATTTTTTGCACGTTTCTGTTTAATTTTTTTTTAAGTTAGTTCTAAATTTATGAGTAAACTTAAGTACATATACGATAACATCTTTAATACTACATATTGAGTTGTAAGTAATAAATTATTAGATCTGTATTTCTTATAAACTCTATGTCATCTTTGTATTTTAGAGAACTGATGAAGCTTTAGAAGTATAAAGCGAAACGTCTTCTATAAACTTATGAAGTAGTTGACTTCTGTTTTTTATTTTGCCAACCTGACTGACCGAATAAACCTCTGAATTCACTAGTTGAATACTTTATTAATATATATATATATATATATATATATATATATATATATATATATATATATATATATATATATATATATCCTCCTCAATCCTTTAGCCCTTGTCAGGGCGTAGTGACACCCTAAATATTGTTAGTCTGCTGTCTCCATTGACTGCGATCTTGTGCCATATGGACAGCTTCATGTAGGGATTTTCCCACCAAACTCTTCAGTTGGTCTACCCATCGTATTGGAGATCTTCCTCTTGGTCTTCGGCCTTCTATATATATATATATATATATATATATATATATATATATATAAATATATATATAATAAATATATATATATATATATATATATATATTTGTTGAGAATTTTTAACTAACAGAAGTTTCAAAGTCTCTGCAAATGGTAAAATGTCTCCCTCATATATCCTGGAGACAGGAATACCTCAAGGATCAGTCCTCAGCACAACCTTATTTTTACTGCTTCTTAACGACCTTAGTTCCTTAGTACAACCCCCTGTCAAACATAATATCTATGCGGATGATCTAGTTATTTACTGTTCGAGTAAAGTAACAAGCTCCACTAGCACTCTTTTGCAAAAGATTATTGATAACATCTCTCACTGGTCAAAACAAAATTGGTTTCAGCTTCTCGCATACAAAGTCTAAAGTGATTAAATTAAGCAAAAAATATAAACAAACTCTTCCACTCATAAAATTAAAAGAGCATCCACTACAAGTAGTTGAAGATCACAAATTTTTAGGGTAATTTTCGACAAAAAATTAACATGGAAGAGACATATAGAAAAAATTAAAGCCAATTCAAAAAATATAAATCTCTTAAAATCACTAGCCAATCGACAATGGGGAGCCAAAGAAGAAGTCCTATTAAGTTTATACAGAGCCCTAATAAGATCTAAGTTAGACTACGGATCTATATTATATATGTCTGCCCCTAAAACTTATTTAAAATCACTAGATACAATTCAAAACACTTCATTAAGAATATGTCTGGTAGCCTTCAGATCTAGCCCTACAGAAAGCATATATGTCGAATCGTGTGAACCTCCTCTAAATATTAGAAGACAACGTCTATTAAACTCCTATTTTGCTAAGGTTTCTGCAAACCCTAATAACATATCTTTCCAACTTATTAAAAAGTTTCAATTAACAGAAGCACACAGTAGAGCTACTGCCAATTCATCACTACAGTTTCTATTGCCGCTCTTAGAAAATATTGACCTAAATCTCACCACCCCCATTATTCAGCCCAATACTCCACCTTGGCTAAAGATATTACCTGACTTTAACGTAAATTTGTGCAGATATAAGAAAATGGAAACCCCCACGATACACATGAAACAAACTTTTAACGACATAATTAATAGAGGCAAGTTTGATAACATAATATTCACAGATGCATCTAAAGACGAGGAAAGTGTCGGATGTGCTGTTACTTTCACAAATGACATACTAGCAATGTATAGACTACCCAAGATGACCAGTATATTCACAGCAGAACTCTACGCTATACTTAAAGCTCTAGAGGTTCCAATGCAGGGTACCAAAAACTTAGCAATCTGCACAGATTCATTATCATCCATAAATCCGATTAGAAAAATCTACACATCAAATCCTTTAGTTAATGAGATCCACGAAAGATGTACAGCATTTGCTAAATCAAACACTTCGGTTTCGATGATATGGAATCCTTCACATATTGGTATTAAAGGAAATGAGAATGCTGACCACGCAGCATTGAAGCACGTCGCTCTGACCTTACAGATGAAAAAGTCCAAATGTTTCAAGACATAATAATTGAAATTCAAAAGTTATCTACCTCAATGTGGCAAAATCAATGGAACAGGTGCACTATCCAACTAAAGTCTATCCAACCAAACATTTTAGGACCTAGAATTGTTACAACGGAAAGATAACCGAAGACCATCATTAGAAGGCTCAGAATTGGGCACACCCGGCTAACCCACGGATATCTGATGGTTCCCAAAGAACCTCTAAACTGCCAATATTGCAACTCCCTTCTAAGTGTACACCATATACTTGTGGAATGTAACCAGTACGCAGCAGCACGGATCAAACATAGTATCCACGGAAGTTTATGTGATATTTTAAAATCTAAAAACAATATGTCTAATGTGATAGAGTTCCTTAAAAACTGTAAATTATATCACCTGTTGTAATTGTATCATCTATCTCTATTTCAATTTTATAATCATCCGCTAGTTTTTTCTTTATTTTTTTTTAATATCATCTGTATTGAAATTTATTGAATCAATGTAACTTTATTGTTATTCTGTAATACAGTTCCTCGTGTCAATGGCCGCAGCAGCCGAGACATGTACTTTGAAAAAAAAAAAATTGTCGTTGATTCGCTCCACATGAATATCTCTGTACTAATAGCAACCCATTATTAAATTCTTATGATCGCTTAAAGTTATTAATCATTCACCGTTTTTATTTAATTTTCTTGTCTAAATTGATCGACCACTTTGCAATTTACTTTTCTTCAGGTTCTAGCATTTAAGTAACATACCAGAATGAGTTCCAATAGAACTGTTTTTTTTTAAACATGACGCAAAAAGTTCAAGTACAGCGATCAAACGTGTTTCTCCAATAGATCAAATACAGAAAATTTCAAAAGATTTTGCATAAGGGCAAAGTTGCATTTAATAAATTCTAACTGGCGCAGTTTAATCTAATCTCATGCAAAATAAAACTCTCATAAAAACTTGAAGTATATAATTATTATAAACCTCGACAAACACCTTGATTAATAATAAAAATCAAGTACATAACAAAAAAGTATACAATATAAAAATTTATATTTTAGCCTTAGTGCGTTTAATATTTTGAAGTCCAGCAGCGATTCTCTCTCCAAGTGATTGGTCTACTTGTTTAAAGTGATTTATTTGTCTTTCTTGAATGAAGTCCAGAGTTCCGGAAAGATGTCCAACTACGTTGTTGACCAATCGGTCTTGTTGTTCCTTGTTCAGTACCTTCTGCCAGAACACACGGGCCTGGCTAAAGTTATCAGCATCACCAGTGTCGTACCTTAAAAAAAAGAATTATCATTATACAATTTTTATCAGTAATTTACATTGTAATATACTAAATTAATAATAGATTAGATAAATTAAATAAATAAAAGGTATTAATAGGTTGTAAACAACTGCAAGAGTAAAGAGCAGCTCATATCATCATTACTGGACAATAAAAAGGAACTTGCAAAGTCATTTTTATGAATTTTGATTAACTGTAGGAAATTTATTTTTAATTTTTGGGTATAGTAGTTGATTTTTACTCTGAAGGTTGTAGCTTTTGCTTGTGTAAAATGTTTGAAACGGGAATAAAAGGTGTAAATCTTCAGATTATGTCTCGTTTTCATGATGGAAACACACAGCAAAAAGATAAATATCAAAGAAGCCGTTAATGAAGCAATATGAATATACCATCATGAATACGTCAATAAAGGTCAGAGACATATCACCTATAATTACTATATAAGCATAAATCAGAATTTGGTATCAATCCGAGGATATAACGTCAACCTCAGAATTTCAACTTGGAAAAACATCTTGTAGGCTATTTACCTACAAGATCAAGGACAAGTACTGCCACTTAGAGGCTACCACAAAGCGAAAATGATAAACATATACAGGGTGGTGAATCGGCAAACGGACCATAGGAAACTCAATGGTAAATTCTAAATTGTTGAATTCCTGCTTCCCTAATTATTTTACACCAAAAGTCATGGGAAACTATTTGTAGAGGACTCAAATATGTATCGAAAACAACTGTTAAAATTATTCTACGACTTAAACGTATTCCAAAATTTTGCAAAAATATAATACATTTTTCTTTGACAAAATGTGTATTACGTGTTGCGTTTTGTCATATTATTGTTTCTGATATTTGATAATATTTAAATCAATTATATTATATTTATCTATGATTTAAATGACCAAAATTTTGTGATTTATTGTTTTAAAAAAATTAAGTTGATTAAAAAATGTACCCAGTTGAGGAGAAAAAAGCAATAATAAAAATGTTTTATTCATGTTTTATTATTTGTTATAGTTTTATGTTTAGAAATAATCATATATTATTATTAGGAATAAAGATCACAGTAATAGTATATTGGAATTCATTGAATTGTTGTATAACTTAACTTAACATGGAATTAAATTTTAGTGAATTAGAATATCTTACGTTAAATAAAGATCCGGTAGTGGCAGGAAAAGGTTCGCGCTATTGCCTGAGTAGGTACAACATTATGCGATTTTTCGTCAACTGAGTACATTTCATTATATTGATCGATTTGTAAAAATATAATTTATTTTTCACAAAGTAATAATGTTCAGTAGTAGTAGTATTTAGTAAAATTCATTGTTTATAATTTAATCATAAAATAAAAAAATTGACAATTCAAATTGTCAAACATCTGACATTAATATGATAAAAGACACACGTCCCAATATATATTCTTGCATTACGTGTGGCCTAACTTTTAGGGGTGGTCTGAAAAATGTATCACATTTTTTCAAAATTTTGAAATACATTTGATTCGTAGAACGGTTTTAACATTTGTTTTTAATTCAGATTTTAGTCCTCTACAAATAGTTTTTTATGACTTTTGATCTAAAATAATTAGGGAAGCAGCAATTCAACAATTTAAAATTTCTCATTGAGTTTCCTATGGCCCGTTTGACGATTCACCACCCGGTAGATTAACATTTTTTTAATTCTTAATTTATATTTTTATGAAAACGATTTCTTGATTGGAAATCGAAATGTCAAAGAGAAATGTAAAATGTCATTCTCTTTACAAACAATTGTCAGTCAAGTGACCACATTACAAGCGATCTAGAAAGGGCTTATAAAAACATAAAAAATAATTGATAAAATTAATTTCCACGAATGGCTATTGCGCAAATCAAACTCAAAATCAATTTTCACCTTACTCAAAATTATAAACTCACATATCCTGTGGCTGAAAATTTTGGGTGCCAAAAACATACCTATTGGTAAAATTTTAGGGATCCAAAAACAGTAATTAGTAAATTAAAACCACATAAGTCTTGACTGAATAGTTAGGCAGTCCAAAAACAGTCAGAAATTAAAGTTACAAAGTTTTAAGGTCCAAAACAATGCTTATTTGTCTTAGTGTACCTCATCCTTTAAGAACATTGGCTATTATCACGGCCTATTTTACTCTGTGTGCAGCAGTTTTGAAGAGTTCTACTGTTTTTTTAGTCCACTGCTTTAAATTGTTCAACCAGTGTCGGCGTAGTCTTCTCTCCGGTCCTTTTTTTCCTTCCACTTTTTTTGTATAACCAATCGCATCAACGCATGTTTTTCATTTTTAACGATGATTAATAAAACAAATCCATATACCAGGTTGCAAATTATAGAAATCCAATAACAGTTAAAACCAAAATAATATCTTATATGCTATGGCTACAAATTTTAGAGGTGATTAATATATCTAAGCAACTTGCTCTATGGCTGGATAATTAGAGGGTCAAAAGACTTAAGAATTATTTGGAAAGCTTGAGAATATCTTTGTTTTGTAAAAAATGTTATGTGCGGTTTGGTAATTATACCCATACGCAAGGTTGTTGAGTATATTAAAAATGACACGTCAAAAATTTTATAACCAAAAAATGCAAATGAATTAAAAATTATTAGTAAAAGATATTATTTTATTAATAGAAATAAGTTTTTGACAAATAAAAAGTTTAACGTACCATATTTCTTGTACATTTCTATTCAAAATAATAAAAATTGTATGATACACTAATTAATTAATTTTTATTTATTTTTTAGTACGCATGGGAAGAGATCTATCGTATTGCTTGTATCCCAATAAAATCATTTGTATCACATAGATCATGGACGGCTTATATAAATCTGGAGTCAATATAAAACTGCACATTTTGACCTACAGATAACATGGAAAGAGTGTATCAAGATAAAACCGATATAATGTATATATTTATTATAAAGTGTATTGTCATTTGAAGGTCGAATGACGGCTTTATTCAAACAAAAATTGTGATAAGATATTTTTATCCTTACCAAAAATTTTGGTTGAGTACATTTTCAGATTATTTAAACAAGTTATTATGTTAAAGATTAATTATTCGCAAATTTGCAAATAAAAATGATAATCAAGGTCATGATTGAATATTATTAATTTGTAGAATTTATGGAACTGCTTAAAAACAAACTAACTGTTAGTATTGAAATAAAGTTTGCAACCTGTTTTATATTATAAATAACTCTGCTGTGTGTATCAACAATAACATAAATCAACACGACAGACAAAAGATACAAAAAAGGGATCTCGGGTAATTCATAGTATTAATGAGGTATTAATGATGGAATGGGTACAGATGCTCTAAAACTTGAAGGCACTTCTCTTCTGAAGGAAATATAAGACTTCTTCAATATGTCCTTGAATCGTCAAAAAATTCTTAAAAATTGGAATAACTATATTATAATTAAACTTTGAGGGTATACAAGGCAACTATCGAACACGGTGATTAATTTAATCTTGCCCAAGTACTTTCGATCAATAGATCATCTTCATTGATTGATTATATGATATTATAATATCTGCATAAAAGGGTGACCATATACTTGGAAACAAAAATTTGAACTGTATCAGTCAAAACAACAGGCTAGTTTTCGCTAGACTACGGTACAAATGACCACCCACAGCGCACAAAAGCTTGATTGAAAAATATATACAATAATGGACCAGGTAGCATAGGTACACCAGCATATATATATATATATATAATATATATATATATATATAATATATATATATATATATATATATATATATATATATACATATATGTAGCAATGCGACAACATATAAATCTGCAAGTCCTACCAATAAAATACATATCAGGAAAGGGGTTCCACAGGGACATACTACGTCACCAAAGTTGTTCATCACTGTACTTAAAAATGATTTGAAGTCACTGGAATAGGAAAATAAAGGAATAAATACTGATAGCCAGATGCTTACTCATTTACGATTCGCAGGACGTAAGGTAAGTTCGAATATTAATTACCAAAAGACAAAATTGATGACGAATTTAGTTCCGAGATAGCCTTTGATGCTAAAAGACGTCGAAATTGAAGTTGTTGATAGCTACATATACCTTGAAAATATGGTAAAAATTAGCAAAGATAATCAAATTGATGAGCTGTTAAGAAAAATAATCTGAAAGATTGCGTGATATTTTTAAAAATGGTGTACCTATTTGTTCTTACGTATGGTGCAGACACATACTCTCACAAGGCCACCTGCATATAAATTACAAGTGACGCAACAAAGAATGGGAAGATCATTGTTGGGCAGAACGTTGAGCGATAGGGTGGGAAACGAAGAAATTCGTACAGTACACTTACATTCGTAAGTGGTGTAGAGGTGCTACAGCAATGGTGCTACAGCCCTCTAATAGAACTTCGACCTTCTTAAGTCTATTTCGCCGGTCAACCCTATCTATTGCTAACCGTTGTCAGTGTGCTGCAGCTAGTTTTCTAGCATCTTCACAATGTCCTGCCAATCTTAGTCTTTCTATTTTTGTGAGACAACTTTACTACCTGATATCTGTTTGTATTTGTGGTATACCTTATAGTTATACCTCCTACAAATACTGTTTTCACATATGCCACCGAATATTCCTCTCAGGATACTTCTTTAGAATATGAGCAAGAGGTTTTCATCAGGGAGTATAAGTAGGTATGTGAATTTGTCCACCACTTCAAAGCTAGAGTTATCAATATATATAATTTATTTATAGGTCCACATTTTTTCAGAATTTGGAAGAGTAATTTACATTTCTCCTAGCTTGCCTGTTGTACAAGCAATTAGGTCTATATCATCTGCATGGGCCATAATTTATGACGATTTATGGAAAATATTTCCTCTGTTGTGTATTCTGGGGTCTTTAACGGCATTTTCCAGGACTATATTGGAAGCGTATCTATATATATATATATATATATAATATATATATATATATATATATATTATATATATATATATATATATATATAATATATAATACCCGGTAATTAGGCGGCACAAGCCCTTATCTCTTGCCGTACTGCTCCACCATAGGCCGATCAGGCACCAGCATATTCTAGTCTAAGCCGCAGATTCATTTAGAATTTTCAACTGCTGCGTTAGCCTTTTTGTTTTCTGTACACCGAGCTGGGGATCGAACTCACATCCATTGAATCACTCGCAGTGAAGCGAATGAGAAACCGGCCGCCCAGCCCGCTTGGTTGTCTGACCGACATTGTGATTGTTTTGTATTTTTAGTATAAAAGATTTATTTTGGTGAAAAGAAGAGACATCTGATGGACTAAAGTAGTACAAACTCGTTTATTGTTGTAGTATCGATTGCTTGTGCAGTATCCGATAAAATGTAATAATTATTAGAGAAACATTTATGCTTCACAACAATTAATAGGTTATGATAAGTAGATTAAAGAGATCTTTCAGTAGAAAGACTCAGAGCTCCCTAATTTCTACATTATGGCAAAAGTAATTTTATTATACATTATGTGTTGCTACCAAATATGACACTTACCTATAAGCTTCTCCAGAAACAGTAAATGCTGGTTCAAGAGCTTTTGCTACTTGGTCAGTTACTGGACCGTTAAAACTGTTAGGGAAGTAGTTGGGAGCACCTCCTTGACTTTTAGTGCACATGAATCCGTCTCTCTGGTGGTTGCGAACCTGGAAGGGACAGTTAACTGGCAATTGCAAATGGTTGGGACCCAAACGGTGTCTGTGTGTGTCACTGTAAGCGAAAAGACGTCCTTGTAACATCTTGTCAGGAGAGGCTTCAATTCCGGGTACCATGTGAGATGGGCTGAAAGCGAGCTGTTCGACCTCGCTGAAGTAGTTTTCGGGATTGCGGTTGAGGACTATTTTACCCAACTTGATGAGGGGATATTCTCCTTGGGGCCAAACCTTAGTTAAGTCGAAGGGATCGAATGGCGATCTTTGTGCTTGTTCTGGAGTCATAATTTGAACATAAGTGGTCCATGAGGGGTAGTTTCCATCGGCGATGGCGTTAAATAGGTCTCTAATGCCTGTCGAAAAAAAAAATCCAATCAGTATTTAATAATTTAGTGTTTAATGAAGTTATTAAAAAACAAATAAATCATGGTAAACGAAAGTAAGTTCATATATGCAACGTTCACAAATAAAAGAGACAAATGTTCACCAGTAACTCTCAACAACCAATAATTACCTCAATAAGAAGGTGCCAAATACTGCTAGTACTAATAGAGAAACATATCTCCAGAAGTAGCTGGACTTATACTAAGCAAATGTACTGCTTCGGGCGTAATTCATCATGATAGTCATCAAGTGTGCCTGGTATTATGGTAAATAACCTTTAGACTCAGCTTCCAATTACAACATCGATATATTAAGATTTCAATCAAGTGTTGCGCAGAACTATCAACGAATATTGATACATAAACAGCCTTACTGCAAAACCCGCTCTTAAAAAAACTTTATTTCCCTCTCTCATTTAACCTTGTTATATAAAAAGTAGTACGTAAAGGACAATAAGTACTTGGTGGAATACCTTTAAGAGGAAAGCAACACTCTGTTTAGGTATTGCAAAGTACAAAGAGTTTAAGACAGCAACTAGACAGGTTGGACTAAGTATTATTGTTCAAATGACACAGTTTCTTAAAGTATCAGGAACAAACAAGATTAGTCTATGCACGAATACAATAACCATTGATAATAAGACTTTCGAATATGTAAATACGCTGCCTGGGATGATTGCGGGGTGGATTGAGTAGCTTTGCGATTATCACAGCCGGTCTCAAGCCCGGATAAAATGTGGAGGGTGATTCGCAAGGTTAGCAACCTACCAATCGTAAAAAAATACTGCTCAAAGTAACAATGTACAGCCTCGGAACCGGATTGCTACTATGAAGACGACCACAGCAAGAAATATGGGCAAGCGAAAAACATCCAAAACCCAGATGAGAATTACTACTTGGAATATCAGATCGCTCAATTTAAGGGACCAAGAAATAACCCAAGTGCTGAAAGAGACAGAAATACACATTACAAAAAAAAAGGAAAAGGGTAATCAAAATTAGGTGAATAAAGTTATAATTAATCTTATAACCTCCAATAACTTGCTCTGGGATCATTAATCACAAACACAGGGTCATTACAAGAAGAGATTAAATGTAGATGTGATCTAGCAAAAGTTGCCACAGCAAAAATGACCAAAATATGGAGGACTGTAAATTTCAAGAGCGATAAGATGAGGTTGATCAACTGCTTAATATTCCAATACTGACCTACGGATGTGAATCTTGGACTCTGAGACAATCGGAGAGAAGAAAGATAGACGCCACTGAAATGTTCTGTTGGAGACGAATGTTACGAATTCCTTGGACGACCGTAGAACAAATAATTCAATTTTAAGAGAGCTAAAAGTAGCCAACGACTCTCTAGTAAAGTCCATCTCCAACAATTAAAATATTTTGGGCATGTTATGAGAGCAAACACAGAAAACATGGAAAGACTCATAATACAAGGAAAGGTAGAAGGCCGAAGATCACGAGGAAGATCCCCAACAAGATGGATAGATCAAATTACAGGAATATGCCAAAGATCTATGCATGAATTAAAAGAAATGACCAGAGACAGAGATCTCTGGAGACGGACAATACACGACATCACGTCGACCACTACACTCCCCCTGGGGGGTCAGGATTGAAGAGAGAGAGAACTTGCTATGACGATCTCAACTCATAAAACCATAATAATAGTAATTAGTAAAGAAGCAACTAGATGTAAATTAGAAATCGATGGCGTCAGCTTTGATAAAGTCTTACATACCCAACCCTAGGTATGTTAAAATACCTAGGTTTTATTGAATGGCCAGCAAGATCTCCCGATTCAACTTACCTTCTTCCTACGGGGTTATTTAAAAACTAAGATTTATAACACCATCCCTGCTTCATTGGAAGAACGACTAATAATGCATAAATGTAGTGTAGTAACCCTTTAAATGCTTCAAAATATTCATCATATTTTCGAACGAATTTATAATTGTATGGTCATTTGCAATGTTGCAAATTTCCTTTTAATATACTTTTTGACGTTAGGGAAAACTTTTAAAATTGAGAGTAGCAGAACATAGGGATTACAACGAAATGTCTGTCTAAATCTGCCACACATGATATATTCCCTATTTAAAATTAAAGATTTGTGGTACTGGAAGAGAGGGGGTCGACAATGACTTATCAACACCGTTAAAAGATGTTCCCATTTTCACAAAATCCAGTGAATATTGACATATATCAGGGTGGACTCTTTTGAGTGGCCAACTCTATATAACTGACAAATGAGTTCAGTCCCCGTAGTCATCACAAAGAAGGAAAAGAAACTATATAATTAACTTATATATAATCGGTGCTTTGGGAATGATATTTCTTTTATTATTTTAATAATTTTAACTTCAACATTTAAATTATCTATGTCTGATATAATATTAACTGGCATTTTAAAGGTCGATTATATTATCAAAATGTTTATTTATAAGAGATTTACTTTCACAAGATAACGACATTGTTAATGCAATGATTTTTTATATTTAGAAAATATCAATATAATTTGGATATTACGTGAATGAAATAAAAATTTCTTATTATATAGTGTATTTATTGGAAAACAACCACAATTTTAATTGAAAATAGTGAAGGTACTCAAAATACGATAGTAGATAATATAGAACTGCCACAAGCAAATGGTTTTAGAACCATATAAAAATTGCTTACTGACAGAAAGAGTTTACAGTGAAGGATAAATAAGAATAGTCTTCCTTTATGGTTTGATTCTTGATTGAATCCCAGCGCGGCGCTGGGATTCAATCAAGAATCAAAACTCAGTGAATAATCGAGTTTTGTTTAAATGAGAATCTTCTCAAACCTTATGAAGCAAATTAGAAATTAGGTTACAGTTTTTAAACCTTCAACTCAGATGAAAATAAAACAATTTTAAAAGGGGTTTACACTGTTTTTCTTTTTGTTTAATCGTAATAATATGTTTTATATGTATTAATAATAATAATTTTGTTCTTTTTTTTTAATCCTTCGCCTCTTCAATTCTAGGGTCACATCATTGTATCAAAATCATTTTATCTATGTCAAATACTATTAAATGTTTGTGTTTGTGAGGTATTACTACTTTACATTAATTAGCACAATGAGATAAGGTAAAAAATTGAAAGTACTTAGTTAAGTAACTTAGCAACGATAATATAATGGTTTTAAAAAAGATTAGCATGTTTTAAAGTACATTAACTTTAGAAAATATAAATTATTTTATCTGAGTATAAAAATAAACAAAAAACAAGATATTGACGGTATTATGATACGGTTTAAATGCAGATTGAAGCAATTAATTTTAAGTATAATATATGTACCATAAAAAATAAAGATAATTTAACATTACAACACATTTTTCCTTTGATTACAGCAAAACTTTTTAATGTGGTAAACTGAAGGAAGGACAAAATAGCATTCTATAGAAAAACACAAGCTCATCATTTGGTTGTACTGATTGTGAGAATTATATAATAACAACCATTCTTGTGAACTATTCAACATAAATAATATTGAACTAACAATTCTAGAACATCAGCACAAAAGCAGGTCTTATCCTGCTCTTTCACCTTCACGTAATTATGGGACTTAAGCCATGCAGACTGCTTCCAAAGAACCAAGAGCATAGCAACACATGAGTCAAAAGCGTATGGTGTTGTGTGGCGAAAAGAAGAAGTGCGACAAGTTGTCTACTTAAGCAGAATGGATCGAATTAATAAAAACAAAAAACGGTACTTTTTTTTGTGGCATAGACTTCGTCATTCAGCCAGTCCGAAAGTTAAATATATCTTAAAAAAGTATAATACACATAAGTACAGATTATAAAAGGTTACCTAGCAGACTAAGAAGACCCAATAGAAATTAACATTAGAGAAAGATTTGAGTATTACATAAAACGCCGAGCTACTTAATATTTCGGAAATGGCTATCCAAAGCTCCAATGAGATGAGTTTTGACACCAGCAAAGTCGTCATAACTTCTTCCAATACAACAAGAATAATTTGATATCATTGAATCATAAGGATGTACTGCTAAAAACACATCCATAGGTCAGGAAATGAGCTAAAACCCATTGCTGAGACGTAAAGGAAAAAGATAATATGGCGACCATGAAGAAAACTCGAAGCGTGTAAGGATTTATGAAAAACAGGTAATAAAAACTGAGAACTGCAGCTATGGATAGAAGAAATTGAAGAAAGTCAATATAAGAATTCCAAGCCATAGGTTATATACCACGCCTGTTAAGTTATATAAAAGCTTCCTTAAACATTTTCTTTTAAGTATAGAATTGTAATTATTCGTAAATCTTTGTCGTCCAATCCAGCTATTTTAAATATTTCTAGCATTTTGTATTATTTTAGACCTTACCAAAAGCCTTTTCAAAATCGACTAAACATATGTATACATTTTGATTTATATCTCTGCATCCCTGTATCAGAACTTTAATACTGAACAAGGCTTCTCTCGTATCAAGCCACTGCCAAATCCGAATTGTGTATTGCTAATTATCTCCTCTAATATCGTGTATATTCTGCTATGTATTATTCGCAGGAAAATCTTCTACACATAACTCATCAGACTTAATGTCCGATAATGCTAATCAGTTAGTAATTCTCTTCTTCTTATAGTGCCTATCCGTTTAAGATGTTGGCCACCATGATGTCAATCTGTACTTTGCACACTGTTGCCCTGAAAAGATTTGTAGTTGTTGTGTTGAACCACGTACATAGATTCTTCAGACAGAAAATATTTCGCCTTCCTGATCCCCGCTTTCCTTCCTTCTACTTTATAATATCTTAGTGTCATAAATTTTGTTAGAGGCCAGAGATGCTTTTATTCAATTTTCTCCCAACAACTTCTTCCCATTTCAGCTTCTTATCATCACTATTATTTAATCTGTATTCAGAAAAGCATTAGACCAGGTCCACGGTGGATCAAGATCAACGGAAACAGTCCTAATAGTAAGCAACGCACAAGAACTAGAAAATATAATAAATGCGGTAGTTAAACTGCAAAAATTGGACAATGAACTCTGAAACATAGAAAACAATAGATGCGGTTGAGATGTATATATACAAACGGGTGCTAAGAATGGCCAGATAAAGCACAGATGCCATGGTTACAAAAAGTTAACAACGATGATGTACTTCGGTGCATAAGTTAACAAACAGAATTACTCAGACTAGTAGGAAGCAGCCAGAACTCATGGCTGAAAAACCTATCCAGTTTTGGGATTTGATCCGCAGAAATCTTTCATGTATCAGTTTCCACAGCTACTAATGCCATTTGGACCGCCAATCTTCTAAAGGAGACGGCGCAATAAGAAGAAGAAAGTAGTATTACCTCGTATTAATAAACAAAATAAAGGACTGTGGAGTGCTAGGCAATCCTGGACATCAAGCAGTGAGTCGATTGAGAACTACATGTGAGTCTCAAGGTTGATACAGAGTCCGAAGGGGAATTTAATAGATTATACTGGAAGAGCTAGTACCAACTCCATCGTGATATTATGGTGACATTATGCAATTGGATCGCAAAGACTGCCCTAGAGTGGAATCCCCAAGGGAAAAGACAAAGAGGTCGCCCAGTACAAACTTGGAGAAGATCCATCATGGACGAGGTAAGAGGCCAAGGAAAGTGTTGGAATGAGGTGAAGGCCTTAGCGCCAAATAGAACCCGATGACGCGTTTTCACTGAAGCTCTTGGATGGAGAGAAATCCATCCAATATGCTAGAAAGACTAATACATCAAAGTTTGAGACATTACTTCCACGCAGCAGATCAGAATGGAATAATATAAATAGATTGACTGCTGCCAGAGAAAAAAAACTCAAAGCAGTCCCTGCATATTTTCCTAATGGGCCGGGTGTATCGACCATGGGACCTTATCATTGGTCATTTAAGTCACGTCATCGATAATCCTGGCAAATTAAAAAAAGGTGCAGGGACGGCTTTGTGTCAGTTTTCTCTGTCGCGCGGGTGGAATGCAACTGTATTGTATCACTCAGTATATTTGTATGATATGTCTATGATTTAACATGAGGACAAGGTTAGGTACAAAAGCCTCACGATCAAATGCCGAAAACAAGTAGAAGTAAAATAATGTTATTAAAATATTTGAATTTGCAAGGTAAATTGAAGAGATAATTATGAACAAAACAAGCTTTTAAATAGTTAATTAATTTTCTGTATTACCATAATAATGTAATATTTAAAAATGTTAATTTTATCGAGAATTTCGATGTAGAAAAAATAACATTCTTAAGCTTTTAACAGAAAAATTACTTACTGTAATCAGGGTCTGATGCAGACAAGTCTGAAGCTTTATTGACATCGAGATTTTGTATTCCTTGGTCGGTTTTGTGGTGGAATTTACAGAAATGTACCTGGCCTTCTTTGTTGACAAACTTGAAGGTGTGAGATCCATATCCGTTCATATGCCTGTATCCATCAGGAATACCTGAAATAAAATAGTTCGATCATTACATTACTCTCTTACTTATAAAGTAATATACCACATAAAAAAAGTAAAATATTCACCTCTGTCTGAGAACAAGAATAACAATTGGTGCATAGTCTCAGGCCTCAAAGACATGAAGTCCCAGAACATGTCGGGGTCTTTAAGATGGGTCTGTGGATTTCTCTTCTGAGTGCGGATAAAGCTAGCGAAGAAGATAGGGTCTCTAATAAAGAAGATGGGAGTGTTGTTTCCCGCCAAATCCCAGATGCCTTCCTCGGTGTAGAATTTGATGGCGAAACCTCTGGGATCTCTTACTGTGTCTGCTGACCCAGATTCACCACCGACAGTCGAGAAACGAATAGCGAGGGGGTCTTCTTGCCGATGGAAGAAAATATTTTTGCTGCTGTGTATCTAAAAAAAATAATACAGTATTTTAATACAAAGTGTCGAAAGGATTTTCAAATACTACTACTAAAAGAATTACCGGATTGAGGGATGAAGACAAAATTTTAGCTATGAACATAGCTCAGTGGCTGAACGTGACTAAACAAGAATAACGCAGTTTTTATCTCCAATTTCCTACTCGTCCAACGCACTAATTATAAAAATATTCCAAAATGTCTTGCCGCTGAACTATTTTTTTCAAGTTTGGAATCAAATGACAGTCGCTGCGAGCCAAATCTGATAAAGCCAAACTTTACGAATGGGGCACCAGTTCAAAATCCAAGATGTGATCAAAATATATGCTGATGATACAGTATTCATAGGAAATGCGGAAAGGGTTTTAGAACAAAAACTAGAACAGTAGATACAGGTCCATATGTAAGTGCTTTCTCCATTAATTGTTTCATACAAAAAATAAGCTCAACACATGATCTTCCAGGTCTAAAACCACTCTGTTCCTCCCAGTCCTCAAACGGACTTTCTATCCTATCTCGTAATACTCTGCCGTACAGTCTACCTGCAAAAGCTATAACAAGAAGTCCTCTGTACTTTGCATAGTCAAGTTGTACAATTTTAAATTTAATTTTTTTGAACAACTGAATTAAAAAGGATTAACTAAGATACTTTGATAGAAGCTGTGAACATTGAATCTGAAGAGATTTATTCGTTGATGCTCCGGAATGGACAGAAAAATTACTATATATAATGTTATTTTGGTAAGGATCAGACCGCAGTAGCCATAGCGTTGGCTTCATCTGAAATATCTGCACCTTTATTATAAGGAGGATGAACTGCACGTTTTGCCTTGAAATTACCATTAAACATACAAATCAATGAAACACCAGATTGCAAATCGCTAAAAACAGAGCAATGGCGAAGATTTTACAGGTATACAAATTAATCGTTTGGGATGAATGACATAAATACACATAAATACCTAAACCAAAAAACAGGAAGACTTAGACCTATATAGAGCGAAAAACAGAGAGGTAAAGAAAAGAGTAACAAATGAAAAGAACGAACGATGGGAACAAGCATGCACAGAGATAGAACGACATATCGGAGGAACGAGAAATTCAGAATCATGGCGAATATTAAAAGCACTCCAACGAAATAAGACAGAGAAAACCCAGATCGGCAAAATTAGTGAAAACGAGTGGCAAGAATACTACGTAGAACTACTTACAGAAAACCGTCCCCAATTTCAGGAAGAGAATACAGAACATGCAGGAAATGGGACATACGACCAGATAGAAATAAGTCTGACAGAAGTCAAGAGAGCAATCAAGACATTGAAGAACAAAAAAGCCAAAGGACCCGGAGGGATACCAAACGAACTAATTAAAAACGGAACGGAAAAGTTATTCCGCATGCTACACAGAATGTTCGAAAGAGGACTAAATGGAGAGGAAATACCTGCGGAATGGACACAAGCATACATCACATCCATACATAAGAAAGGAAACAGGAAAAAATGTGAAAACTACAGAGGAATTAGTATAATATCGTCGGTAGGTAGACTTTACGGGAAAATTATCAAGGAAAAACTAGAAACTGAAATAATAGGAAAAATTGGAGAAGACCAAGCAGGGTTCACAGTAGGAAAATCATGCCTAGATCATACGTACACATTAGAACAACTGATAGAGAAGAAAATGGCAAAAGGTAGACCGGTCCATCTGGCGTTTGTTGATCTAAAGAAAGCATACGACTCAATACCTAGAGTCAAATTATGGGAAGCAATGAATGATCTCGGAATCCGACAAACACTAATAAAAGCAGTTAAAGCACTGTACAAAGAAAACAAAGTAGCTATTAAATGTGGAAATAAAGCCTACAATCCATTTAAGACGACAAAAGGACTTCTACAAGGCTGTGCTACGTCCCCTACTCTGTTTAAAATATTCTTGGAAAAGACACTCAAACCATGGAGGAGAAAGTGCGAAGGAATGGGCATACCAGTAAGAGACGAATACCTATACACCTTAAGTTTTGCCGACGATCAAGTAGTCATCGCACAAGATGAAGAAGATCTCAGCTTTATGCTCAGAAAACTAGAAGAAGAATATAAAAACAACGGAATGGAAATAAACTTAGAGAAAACCGAATACCTAACAACAGAAAACAAGGATATGAGAAACCTAGAGATAGACGAGGGAAGACAAGTAAATGGAACAGATAAATTCAAGTATTTAGGAACCATAATATCGAACCAGGGAACAACAGAAGAAGATATAAACAACAGACTAAGACAAACAAGAAACTGTATAAGACAACTAAATTCAGTGCTGTGGGATAAGAACATTACGATAAAGACAAAAAAGAGAATATATAATACCCTGACAAGAAGTATCCTGACATATGGGTCCGAAAACTGGACAATAAACAAGAGAAATAGAGGTAGAATAAGAGCAGTAGAAATGGAGTTCCTGAGGAGAAGCTGTAGACTTACAAAAAGAGACAGAATTGAAAACGCAGAGATTAAGCGGAGAATGGGAGTGCAATCAGACATAATCGACTATATAGAGGAGAAGAGACTATCCTGGTACGGCCACGTCAGAAGAGCGGACAGAGGACGCTGGATAAACAAAATCACAGAATGGAGCCCGATCGGAAGAAGAAAGAGAGGAAGACCCCGAAGGTCATTCAGAGACGAAATCGACGAGGCTATGGAGAAAAGAACCCTGCGAGATGGAGACTGGAATGACAGGGAAAATTGGAGAAAACGGTTGAGTGAAGGAGGACAGTGAAAACTGTGGAAATCCTTAGTAGTAGATGAATGACATTGGCCTACAAGAGGTTATTACAGTCACTGGACAGAACTTTAATAGATATTCGTGACATTCAAACCCATTTTTGGTGGAGTCATTATTCTATTGTCAAACTGTTCCTTATTAAATAATTATTCCCCAGTTAACTGTTGTGAATGGACTAAAAGCATGCCTAACATGATCCAATTTGTGGCGGGACGTAAAGATGCCCCAATTGACAACTAACATGCGAGTGTTTTGCAACAAGATCAAAGTACAATTTGTGTTTTCGAAGCAGTTGTTAGATATTGGAAATGCTAAAGTCACTATTTATACCTCGATCGGATTGATTTCATTACCCAGAGATTTCTGTTACTTAACAGACTCAAAGGAGGAGCTAATTGAATTTTAACACATTATTTAATTCTAAGTGAAGTTCGCGGGTCAACTAGTATTAAAAACAAGGTTTGAGAATCCTCATTTCATGTTTTCAGATTGTTTTCTAAGCGTATATAAATGAATTATAAAACTTTGTTATAACAAATACAAACATAAACCCTTCGAAATGATTTCTTTTTTGTATAATAATCTTAATTTGTAATAATCTTAAATTTGCAAGTTTTCTCAAAAAAAAAAATGAGTTCAAGTTTTCGTCCTTGTTTTCGTAAAAAGTCACTTACTTTGTGATATCATTAGTAACTTCAAAATATCCAAAAGCACCAGCTCCTTTAGCGTGTACTACTCTTTCGGGAATTCTTTCCCTGTCAAAGTGGGAAAGTTCGTCGACTAGAATTTGATCTTGGAATAAAATGGGGCCTCTGGGTCCGACGCTTAAAGAAGAGAATTGTCCGATGGGGTTACCATATCCAGTTGTTAGAGTCTCTCCCTAGATAAAAAAGCATAATTAATATTATTTTTACATGGCTTACAATTAAATGTGTCTAAACCAAGAACGATATACGGGATATAGTCGAGATCAAGTTATGGGTTAAATAGAAGCTCTAACTTAGAGAATTAATTTAGTTTTATCCTCCAATTTTTCTATTAAGTGGTTCCCGATAATATACATTTGCATTAATTTACATTTATTTGTCAATTCCGTTATAAAGAATTCTTTTACAAACAGTGTTTGGAAAAGTATTTAGTGCTTATTTATAAACATTTTAATTTCTTAATATTTTTGACAATTTTTTCAAGTTGGCACCTCCTAAATAAATTATAAAAGCTTGCAAAGACGTTTCACTGAAAATCATTAACTCTACAAATGCATTTAATGGACCACAGGAGTGATGACGTAATTTTATTGACATCTGTCAGTTTCACTTTCCAAACAAACCTTGTTTAGTGTGGATAATTTGTATTTTTCGTTATTTTTTCATTTATTTTATAGAATCTTTCCGTTTTTTGCAATATTTAAGTATTCTAATGTTACTACAACAATTTTACAGGGTTGTGTAAATGATAAAGCACATTGTTTTATGCTAATAGCAATAAAATGTATGTATCAATAAAGTAAGGTTAGAATTCTCAGTTTCAGAACTTTTAAACTATATTTCATAGAAATAGAACTCTGAATTATGATGGTATTATCGTAAAAAAACACTATACTTACAAGAAAAAGCAGCAGAGGAAGCAAAATGTTAACTTTATAGAAATTAAAAAGTCTTGAGATTTGACATTTCAATGTTTGTTTGGAAAGTAATAATGACAATGTGACAGTCGTGACGTCACACTCCTGCGGTCCAATTATTATTGCGATAAGGCCTGTCACTAGAGATATTGGACTGTTCTCACGCGTTATTTTTCGACATCAATCTTTTTCTAACGGTACAAAACAAAAATCTTTTGTCCGGTACGGAGATGCGCTTTTGTCCGGTACGGACAAAAGAGCATCTCTTCAGAATCCTGACACGAATCCACGTGTAGTATTAAAGTAGTAAAAGACGTATCTTACAAAAACTACGAGATAAATTCAAAAATATTAGAAATATCAAAAATATATCTCGCAATAAATATTAGAGAAGAAGAAGAAGACATTATGACATCTGTAAATCGGTTACAGTTTTTTATTTGTCTGAGGTACACAGCATTCGTAAAATTTGTTGACTTTTAAACCCGTAACCGGTGACGTGGAGTCTGAGAGACTCTTGCGAAATTAAAAACCGGTTTAAAATATTGAAGCGGACGACTCTGGATGGCCTGCGGCTAAGTACCTTTCTAAAAATAGTTCATAAACCAAGCGTTTATATTTGATTAGTTTACGTTTAGCCGTTTGCGGGAACAGACGTTATTGGACTCAGCGAGACTCAACGTCACCGTTAGTTACTTTTTATCGAGTGTTTTATATTTCTTCGTATAAACTATAATGGATCATCTACCAAGTACGTCACGATGGTTAGTGTTACAGATCCGAAATTTGAAGAGAAAGTGTTAAATTGGTTCAATGATTTGGACTCTGAATATAGTGATATTGATGATATTGACAGTGATGCGGTAATAGAAAGCAGTCATGAGTCGGCATCTGAGCAGTCTGATAGTGAATCTGATCCAGAAGACAATATTCCAGAAACTTTAAACCAAGACTCGTCCAGTGATGATGAAAATAATATATTGGCGTCAAGATCTTCAAACTACTTTTATGGTAAAAACAGATTTAAGTGGTCAGCTAGTGCACCAAAAAATATTCGTACTCAAAAGCATAATATTATTGTACATTTACCGGGGCTGCAAGGAAAGGCTCGGTCTCTTGATCTTTCGGCACCTCCAAAGGAAATTTGGAACTGTTTATTTACAAATCAAATGTTAAATGTTGTAGTCGAATGGACAAATCTAAAATTGGCGAGTGTTAGGGTCAAATACAAAAATGAAAAGAGGCCGGAATTAAAAAATGTCGACCAGGTCGAAATGGAAGCATTTTTAGGCTTACTAATTTACACTTCAGTATTTAAGTCCAATGATGAAGACATAGAATGTCTATTTGCTACAGATGGAACGGGCAGAGAAATTTTTCGGTCCGTAATGAGTGCCAAGAGATTTGCAGTTTTATTGACTTGTTTACGTTTTGATGACCCTTCCACGAGAGAACAACGAAAAGCGGTAAATCCACTAGCACCAATTCAAGAACTATTTGAATCTTTTATTCAAAACTGTCAAACGGAGTTTTCTGTTGGTGAATATGTATGCATTGATGAAATGTTAGTTGGTTTCCGGGGTAGATCACGCTTTAGAATGTATATTCCAAACAAACCACGAAAATATGGACTTAAAATTATGATATTAACAGATGCAAGAAACAACTATGTGTACAATGCGTATGTATATACAGGCCAAGATTCCGACGGAATGGGCCTTTCAGTAACTGAGAAAAAGATTGCTAAACCTACTCAATCTGTTTTACGGCTTTCTAAGCCATTATTTGGCAGTAATCGTAATGTGACAGCTGACAATTGGTTCACGTCTATAGAACTAGTTCAGTTGTTGAAATCTAATGGCCTAACATATGTGGGAACTATGAAAAAGGTTAAAAGACATATTCCTCCTAAGTTTCTTCCTCAAAGGCATAGAGAGATTGGTTCAGTTAGATACGGTTTTACAAAAGACATTACCCTTCTTTCGTATGTTCCTAAAAAAACAAAGCCGTCATACTATTATCCTCCATGCATCATAGTATAGCCATAGATGAAAAAACACAAAAACCAGAAATAATTAGTCTGTATAATATGACGAAAGGCGGCGTTGATGCTTTGGATAAAAAATGTACGGTTTACAGTTCGTCCAGAAGAACGCAACGTTGGCCAATGGCTATATTTTACAAAATACTAGATATGAGTACAGTTAACGCTTTCGTTATGTATCAGTGTTATAGAGAATCCAAACCCTTAGACAGGAAAGATTTTATGAAGGTACTGGCTAAAAGCTTAATTGAAGCACACATGAAACAACGAATGTATAACAGCAGAATCCCGACAGAAATAAGAGAAAACATAAAGCGAATACTGTGCGTGGTTGAACCTCCTATTCAAGAAGATCGGTTAGCAGTTCGAAAGTATTGCTACATTTGCCCATCAAAACTTCATAGGAAGACATCTTATTTATGCGTCTGTTGTAAAAAACGAATTTGCTTGATTTGTTCTCATAAAATATGCAGAAACTGTAACGTTCAAAAAGAATAAAAAAAAATAATCCCATTTTTTTGTACCTTATTTACCCCTGCACGTTCCGTTATGTTTAGACTACTGATGATAATTTTTATTACCATAGATTATTCAATATTTGTTATACCTAATATTAAAACCATTTGTACATACCAAATTTAGAAATATTAAAAAAAAATTAAGTTTTCCGACGTAACACCGTACTTTATTTATTTGCAACTTTTGACAAAAATGTTAATAATAAGAATAGTCAGTAACAGAAAGAACTAAAAAGGCAATAGGATATTGCAAAAATGCCTAAAGAACAGATTATTATAAACAATGTGATAAAATAATTATTTAAATTTGAATGAGACCAGCATATTTATGATGAGTCCCGGAGACTCCACGTCACCGGTTATGTTCCTAAAATCGGACGTTACGGGTTAAGGTATTGTAGTAAGACTATTAATTTATTTGTTATTAGTAAATTTTTGTTATTAGTTTTAATGTGGTGCTCAGTATTTTTATAGTTTATTCCTCCTCGATAGTGCTCAAGAGAAGAATTCGCTTACATTTAAAAAATAAAACGATATTATAAGTAGATAATAGATAGACCATAACCCCTGCTTTTCTGTTCTTTTCCGCTCTTTTTGGTTGCCTTAGCATGAGTTACTCACACATAAAGCGAATTTTTCAAAAGATTCTCCTAAGTTTCGACTAAGTGCAAGAAGAAATCGCGTATTGGTTTTTTATGACTCAAGTTAATAAAAAACATTTTAATTATAATTGTTATATCAGGTTCCCAAGGCAAATTGATGAATTTTGTGCGATTGTAGAACAACAATGTAGATACGAGTACTGTTAAATATATGTGAATATTTTAATTAATTAAACTTGGAACTCGCTTATATTAGAAAGAATACAACCGGTAACACGAATATGTAAAAATCTGTACAAAATTAAACACAGAAATAATGCAATTGAAAGTTACAACGTAAATCACGGAAGTCCACAAAAGTAGGGGGAAAGCAAAAATACAGTTCGATAAAAAGTATTTGGGTATTACAGTCAAAATCGTTTATAACGAACTTCAGGGACTGGTGCTTTTTGTACGTTGTAGCCAGTGTTCTCTGTAAGCAGTTCTATCGGTTATAATGAACAGGTTGCTATAAACGATATTACACTAATAGGGACAGTTAGTTCGTTGTACCTAGGGTTATGACGCAAAAATGTGTTACTTTAACTATACTTATAATATGTTATAATAACATATACATAACATTTAACATATGTGTTTATTGTACTTAAGCAAATCTAAATATGTACAAACATATATGTATAATATGTATTGAAATAAGTATAAGTAGTGAATACAGTATACACATAATATAACGGCTTCTCCAAATCTTCGTATTATAAAAATGTAGGCATACATATACTATTTATCTTAAAAAGACAAAAAAAATACATACATATATGTATTACAAAATATGTAAACACATTTTACCTGAATATTTAATGAAAAAAGTCTGTAATTTTTGTTTGTCGCCTTCCTTGAACTTCCGAAAAAAACATTTTTTCAATTGATGTGGAAACAATCGATAATGATTCTTTTACACTCTGGAAGTTTCAGCAGTCTGAATAAATCCTCGTATGGTGGAACAAGCAGCATACGCTTCAGCAACAGTAGGGATTTTGCCGAAATCTTCCAATTCTTCATCAGCCTCATCAGTACTTTGTTTGTCACTAG